AGCAGAGAGAGAGGGTGAGATCAGAAAGAGAGGAGAAGGAGTCTTAGAAGAAATACATGAAATGGTAGAGGAAATGATTGCTGTTCTTCGTGAGTCAGAGAGGAAACTGACTGAGCAGGCAAAGAGGGTCACTGATGATAAACTAAAGGTGCTGTCAGAGCAAATGAAATCAGCAGAAAAGAGTTTGAGTTTTCTGGAGGATGTTGAGGATTATGTGGAACAGAGTCTGAAGACAGGCAGTCCTCAACAAGTCCTGAGGTCTAAGAAACAGATGATGGAGCGTATGAGTGAAGTTACTGCAGGGATCAATGTGGAGGAGTTACATCCAAAAGAAAAAGCCGACTTTGGATTGAGTAAAGATATCAAATCGCTACATCACATTGGAGATATTGTGACCTCTACTGCACTACAGCAGTGTAGAGTGAAGAAGATTGATTGTATTACACCTGCTAGCAAAGCAGTTTCGTTTTCACTATCAATGGAGGCACCAGATTCATCTGTTTTGTGTGTTCCCCTCTCTTCTCTGAGGTGTAGTCTAGTACCAGTTGGTAAAGGTGATAAACCCATTGACACTACAGTCACTACCACCAGCACTGATCCTGGAGTGTATAGGATACAGTGTAACCCTTCGACACGTGGTACTCATACAGTCAAAGTACAAGTATATGATGTACACCTTGAAGATACCTCACTAGTCATCCCTTTCAATCCTTACCTTGATAACATCACTCCAGTACGTACTATAACTGAGCTTAACTGTCCCCGGGGAGTTGCTGTAACTGATGATAATTATGTTATAATAACTGAGTTTAGTGGTCACTGTGTAACAATACTGGATAGAGAAGGAAAGAAAGTTACATCATTAGGAGGGGATGGAGGAAGTGGTGATGTCAAGTTTTTTTCTCCTCATGGTGTAGCCATTACTCCAGACAGATTCATTCTTGTATCTGATAGTCACAGGATCCGGAAGATAAGCATGGATGGATACCTTATAGCATCAGTTGGTGAAGATCGCAGTGGAGCACTACAATTCAATTATCCTCATGGTATAGCCATTTCTCCTATAACAGGACAGATTTATATTGCTGATAAGAATAATCATCGTATACAAGTCTTGAATCCTGATCTAACCTTCTCTCATTCATTTGGTAGTAAAGGATCAGCTAATGGACAGTTTCATTCTCCACGTGGCATTGCTATTGACAGTCAAGGATTAGTGTATGTTGCTGATGAGTATAATCATCGCATTCAAAAGTTTTCTCCAGATGGAAAGTTTGTGGGTCAGTTTGGTACTCGAGGATCTGGTCCTGGGCAGCTTAATAGGCCAAATGGTATAACAATAGACACTGCAGCTACTGGTCTAGTGTATGTTAGTGAATGGTGTAGTTATCGTATATCAGTCTTCACTAGTGATGATGTGTTTGTTAGCAAGTTTGGAAGTAAAGACAATCTTTGTAATCCTATTGGATTGACATTTGATAAAGATGGATTATTGTATGTTTGTGATATTGGTACTAAACGACTTGTTGTTTATTAAAATAAGTTAAATTTTTTGTTGTTTTTTAGCATAAAGGATTTGGGATATATTCGCAGCTGCTTATTTTCACTATAATAAAAACTAATAAAAAGGTTCAATTAAATACCATGGAAACCAATTGATTGTTGCTATGACAATAAGACCACGTGTTTATACAATTACAGTGTTCAGCAGCTAATTATCTATTCTCTAGCAGCTTTAGTGGGAGCCATCCAGTTCTCCATCCGCTATCTTCTTGTAACATAGATACTAGAAGTAAATAGCTGCCGTCCACGTAAACGTCACATCCGGCGCCAAGAGCATAAGCACATCTTGTTTCATATCCAGGTCCGTTTCTAGTATCTATGCTTGTAAAGACCACTACCTTCGAGCTCTTTGCTGCAAATCCTTACCGCTCCACTTGCAGGTGATAATTAACCACGCCCAACTTAATAAATGGGTAGAGAGTCCCAAGAATGGGCCAAGAAAGATACGACGGGCAGAGTGAAGAGAGTACTGTTGATTGCAATTCCGTTCGAACGGAACGTGCAGCGTGAGTATGCTTCCGTGAATGTGTTTATTAGGATCACGTGATCTCCACGCATGCGCACTGTTCGAACGGAACTGCAATCAACAGTAGCTCTGGTTGAAGCAGCTCCAAATAGACCAAGGATTAGTAACAGCAAGAAGAACAACAACACAAGAACACTGCAACAGAGTCCTTTGCTATTAATATCGCAGATTTTTCAATTAAAATTGCATCTGGTATCCATGGTAATTGCTGAGTGCAGGAAAAAATCGCGAAAATAAGCAGCCGCGAATATATCCCGACCTATGGTATTGATAATTTGAACTGCCTTATTCCCATCCATTAGTATAAGTCATTGTTGTTGCATTTATGTCCTATTGTTATGAAATTTACAATTTTAAAGTCACAAGTACAAAAGTTTTTGTGATGCTCCATTATGTAGAGAGAGAGAGAGAGAGGTGGAGAGACTCTCAAAATAGTAGACTGTGCAAGAAAATTGAAGGAGAGAGAGCAAAGGGAAAGAGAGAAAAGAGACTAAGGGAGTATTTAGACAAATAGAGATAGAAGAGAGGAGAGAGTACTGTTTGGGCCTGGGCGATAGTAGTAATATCACTGTCACAATATTTTCTAACTCTAATATCACGATAGTGAACATATCACGATAGTTCAGCCATAGGGTTTACATGTGGAAATACAATGATTTATTTAAGGATGTAGTCATTGTACTTAACTAATGCATCTATTAATTTGTATAATCACATTATACATGTATAATATACTAGTTAATTTAAATTTATTTAATCCAAATTTTCAACAAGAAGCACTGTCCCACTTCACATGCTGCTAATGTAGCAGGGATAGTGAAAACCTTGAAGCAAGCTGTCATATCACTCAATGAGTGGAAGTTGCTATTAATTAGAAGATGATTACAGCTGTAAAGTGTCATTTATACACATGCTCCATGCACACATGATAACTATCGTGATAGTTAGAATAACAGCATCACTATCAGGATAGCTGTACACTATCACATCAATACTATCGCCCAGCCCTAGTACTGTTATATGCCAACCTTAATGTTCTTGATAGTTGATATTAAGGAAGAGAGAATAATTGAAAGGGTTGGAGAGGAAAGAATGGAAAAAGACATTTGAGAGAGGGAGAGAGTACTGTAAATAGTGATGTGTTGTATTTCTTTATTGTTTCTTCCTAGTTGGCCTTCAAGTGGTTTGATCGCTCCATTGGTGACCTTGAGAGTGACACTCAACAAAGCCTGTTTACTAAACGAGTCCTACGAGTAGAGCCTGTACTACTGGACATGGCTGGGTATCATTGTATTAGGAGCTTCTTTGAGACTATTAACCTGGCGGAGAGGAAACTGAGGAAACTTCACTCACACCAACTGGTAATAATGATGTACATGTACACATGTGTATGGTGATGGTTTTACATAAAAATAGCAAAATGTAAGTATCAATTATCCAACCAACCTATAGCTATAGATTTTAGTAAATTGATTAAAGTTAAAGTGTAAATCATCTAAATTTTTGGAATTTTTTTGTGTGCATCAGTACTAAAAATACGTACAAATTTTGATATTTTTCTTAATTTTTAAAATTCAATCCACCTGTATTTATTTCTTTCTCTCATCTCTTTTTCCCTTCCCCTCCTCCTCTAGGTAGTAGATAATCCTGATTTAACTGGTATAGATTACCTCTGGAAGGTAACCACTAGTCACATGATAGTCACATGACCTCTCCCTCCCTCACTTCCCTCCCACCCCTCCCACTGTAGGCTGCCCTTGAAGTCACAGACAGTATAATAGCTGATGAACTGATATCACACATACTACAAATAACATACAATGTACTAGGGCCCAAACTGAAGAAGGTTTGTTATAAAGCTACATATTTACCCCATTCATACCATTGGTGTACTAATACCATTCATGAACTAATACTAATACCGTTACCCCATTCATTCATTCATACATGTACTACACTATTAGAACTATTCTTAACTGAATGTGTCATTGTGAATTTGTGGTACACATACTGTGGGTACACTAAAATATTGCAATTTTTTTAGTTCAGTTTTATTAGCACAGCTTAGCTCATAGTTGTGTAGTAGCTTGAAATGTGAATTTAACTTAGCTGGAGCTTTACTATATCATGTTAAAGTATTTTGTATCAAAATGGCACAGTTTGAGTATCTGTAATTTGTTACTTTACAATGCAAGTGTAAATTAGCCTAGAACCTGCATGTACATGTACTTACTTTGTACTGTACATGACTACATGTATTACTTGTATATGAATGGACATATCCTTTTGCCAGCTACTTGTGGTAACATTGTTCTCTGACCACATCAAAGGGTCTTCATGTGTCAATGAATATCATTAGGGTAGACCCACGATAGCCTGATCAATTTATCTTGCTATATAAGCTCTAGACAGCACATTGTGAAGGTTGCCTTAAACTAATGAGTAAGGAAAATAACAAGTCTTGGTAACTCAAGATTTAAGGGCTCAGTCCCTACATTTCAATTTTTGAAGGAGAGAGGCCACCCCTGGGGGACTCTTCTACTTAGAGAGACCCTCTTGCGTTTGTGGTCTCCGAACTTTTTTAAATTATGACAAACATTTAGTAAATATGCACATAAAATTATTTTGTACAATGATAAGTATAGTATGATGTTGTAATGACTTTTTTGAAGACGCAAATAAATAATAAATGATTATTCCTACTTTATTTACTTGCTGTATTATTAATATGAAAAACAAATCATATTAGTACAGACATTTTATAGTACGTTTGTTTCACTGTACAATTGCACTTAAGTAGTTTTAAATTATAACTGTTCATTAACTATTTCTCTTAGGAGCCCGAGAAGTTACATCGTCGGTTTATTGACGAGTGCTTCACTCGTCTGGAGAGTCTCATAGAACCAGTTGAAAGCCTTGACCCGTAAGTTTACGCTTATCGTCATCCGCCATTTTGTGGGCGTGTCTCTTTGTTTTCATAGTAACTTAAGAGTCCAGTGTGTCGAGAGACTCCTCCTACTAGCACAACGCTACCTCACTACGGTTGAGGTGAGGTATTAGTATTTATTTGTTTTTATAATAATTATTATTAATATTATTTT